GAAGCAAGCTCCAGGCTCTGAGCTGTCAGCACAGAGCCAGCCGCTGGGCTCAAACTCATCAACAGTAAGATCGTGACCTGAGCCGAAGTCAGACGGTCAACTGACTGAGCCATCCAGGTGCCCCTCTTTCCTAGAACTCTTTAAAAGTAGGATAGTGAGACTTAAAAAATAACTACATGTGAAGAAGATTAATAAGATGGTTATCAGTTCTCAAATACCTTTTAAACTTCACAATTCATCGAAAAGATATTGGGAGTATCAATCATAGCATTATTTACCAAATCAAATTTGATCTTGGATCACTGCTAATTTGACTCTAGTTTTACCCTGGTTGTATTCAGTCTTTATAACAACAGCCAAATCAACCCAGGGCTAAGGATTTCCTAGAGCTTGGCTGAACCAATGTCCCTATGCTCCTTAATTAGGATCTCTAATTTCAGGGAAGAACAAACATAAAGTAGTTCATAAAAATTAAGAACAATGGTGTGCTCCAGTAGGCAAGCTAAGTGTTAAGTGAGCCACCTGTTAAACACAGCCACCACATAAGGTTATATTACATAAACTATGATGAACCATAATATATTAAAAACAATGACATTGAAGTTAAAAACTCATCACTCTCTATTTTACATTTTATCCTTATCTGTATTCTTTTTGTTTAAATATTTATTTATATTTAAGAGAGAGAGGCAGAGTGTGAACAAGGGAGGGTCAGAGAGAGGAGACACAGAATCTGAAGCAGGCTCCAGGCTCTGAGCTGTCAGCACAGAGCCTGACGTGGGGCTCGAACCCATGAACCGTGAGACTGTGACCTGAGCCAAAGTCAGACACTTAACTGAGTCACCCAGGTGCTCAATACCCTTATTTGCATTCTTGATGTTATTTACATGTATTATATCTGCATGGTACAAATACTGTGTAATGGCGTGCTATTGAGCATTTTCTCCCAACTGCATTGTCATCATGTTGGTAACCTGAAAGTGACTGTACTGGGAGTATTTACACCACACAAATAGGCAAATAATATAAATCACTCCCAATTCTACTTCCCAAAGAGTCAGTTTAGTTATAAACATTTATGAGCACACTACTGGCTTGGAGGGTAGCATAGTCTTTGGTTGGCTCACATACAGATTCCATCTCAGTCATGTGCTAACCCATAAAATAGAGAAAGAAAGGAGGAAAGAAGAAAGAAAAGAAAAAAAAGAAAATAAATGAGTTGCTGAGCAGCAGAATACACATTTTTCTCAAGTGCCATGGAGCACTGTCCAGGGTAGATCATACGCGAGGCTACAAAACAAGTTTCCATGAGTTTAAAAAGAATAAAATCATATCAAGCATCTTTTCTGACCACGATGGTTTAAATCCAGAAATCAATTACAAGAAGAAAACAAGGAGATTAAACATGCTACTGAACAGCCAGTGGGACTACAAAGAAATCAAAGAAGAAATTAAAAAATACATGGAAACAAATAAAAATGGAAATATAACATACTAAACCTATGGGATGAAGCAGTAGTAGCTCTAGCAGGGAAGTTTATAGCATACAGGCCTGCCTATAGAAACAGGAACAATCTCAAATAAAATATCTAACTTTACACCTGAAGGAATTAGAAAAAGAATATAGTCCAAAGTTAGCTGAAGGAAATAATATAGATCAGAACAAAAATAAATGAAATAGGGACTAGAAAAGACAAGAGAAAAGATCAATGAAACTAAGAACTGGTTCTTTGAAAAGATAAAATTGACAAACCCTTAGCTAGATTCATCAAGAAATGAGAGGGCCAGAGCACCTGGCTGTCTCAGTCAGAAGAGTATGCAATTCTTGATCTTGAGATTGTAAATTCAAGCTCCACACTAGGTGTAGAGTGTACTTAAAAATAAAATCTTTAAAGAAAAGAAATAAGAGCAGGCTCAAATAAATAAAATCAGAAAGAGGAGAAATTAACTACTGATACCACAGAAATACAAAGGATCATAAGAGACTATTATAAACAATTATACACCAACAAACTGTACAACTTAAAAGAAATGGATAAATCCCTACAAACATGCAATCTTCAAAGATGGAATCAGGAAGAAATTTTAAAATGTGAATAGACTGATTACTAGTAAGAACACAGAATCAGTAATAAAAAAAAACTCCCAATGAATAAAAGTCTAGGACCAGATATCTTCACCAGTGAATTCTACCAAACATTCAAAGATTTGAGACATAGCCTTCTCAAACTCTTAAAAACAACAACAACAACAACAACAAACAGAGAAGGGAATGCTCCTAAACTCATTTTATGAAACCAGCATAACAAAACCAGACAGGACATCACACAAACACACACACATACACACACACACACTTACAGGCCAATAATGAACCTTGATGAACCTAGATGCAAAATCCTCTACAATATATAGGAAACTGAATTCAACAACGCATTAAAAAGATCATACACTAGGGCACCTGAGTGGTTAAATCAGTTGAGTGTCTGACCGTTGATTTCGGTTCAGGTCATGATCTCAGGGTCATGGGGTTGAGCCCTGCATCAGGATCCATGCTGAGTGTGGAGCCTGCTTAAGATTCTCTCTCTCCCTCTGCTCCTCTCCCCTGCTCACTCTCTTTCTCTAAAAGTAAAAATAATTTTTAAAAAAATAAAGAAAGAAAAAGATCATACACCATGATCAAGTGAGATTTATTCCAGGGATAAAAGAATGATTCCACATTTGCAAATCAGTGTGATATGCCACATTAACAAAATGAAAACCAAAAATCATATGCTCATTTCAACAGATGCAGAAAAAGCATTTGACAAAATTTAACATCTATTTATGATACAAACTCAGCCACAGAAAATGAAACCTTGCCATTTGCAACAATATAGATGGACCTTAAGGGTATTATGCTAAAGTGAAATGTCAGACAGAAAGACAAATACTGCATGATTTCACTTATATGTGGAATCTAAAAAATAAAACAAACAGAAAAAACTAAACTCAGAAAGAGAATATGTTAGTGGTTGCCAGAGCGTAGGGTATGTGTGGGGTTGTGAAATGTGGGAGGAGAATCAAGGGGTACAAACTTCCAGTTATAAAAATAAATGGAGCACCAGGGTGGCTAGGTTGTTTAAATGGCCAACGCCTGGTTCAGCTCAGGTCATGATCTCATGGATCACGGGTTCCAGCCCCCCATCTGGTTCCACACTGATGGCATAGAGCCTACTTGGGATTCCTTCTCTTTCTCTTTTTCTCTCTCCCTCCCTCTCTTGCTGCCCCTCCCTGGCTTGCACTCCCTCTCTCTCAAAATAAACAGTTAAAAAATTAGCCACAGAGATGTAATGTATAGCATGGTGACTATAGTCAATAATAACGTATTGCAAATTTGAAAGGTGCTTAGAGTAAATCTTAGTTCTCATCACAAGAAAAAAAAATTTGTAATTTTATGTGGCGATAGATGGTAACTAGATATACTATGGTGATCATTTTGCAATGTATACAAATGTCCAATCATTATATTATACACCTGAAACTAATATAATGTTGTATGTTAATTATACTTCAAGTTTTAAAGTGCCCCAAAAAGGTACCTAAATATTTATAAAATAATATCTTTTAGGGATCATTAAATATGCCTTCCTTTGGGGCACCTGGGTGGCTCAGTTGGTTAAGTGGCTGACTTCAGCTCAGGTCATGATCTCACAGTTCGAAAGTTTGAGCCCCGCATCGGGCTCTGTGCTGACAGCTCAGAGCCTGGAACTTGCTTCCAATTCTGTGTCTCCTCTCTCTGCATCTCCCCTGCTCACCCTGTGTCTCTGTCTCTTAAAAAAATAAACGTTATTAAAAAAAAAAAAAAAAAGAAATGCCTTCCTTTTTGAACATACATATCTTCTCTTTAAACAAAGAATTATATTTTCTAGTAAATAGCAAACTGTATCTGAGAAATTTTGGAATTTCCACAATTCCAAAGGGCTTGGGAAAGGCTTAAGATGGGTTATTTTTATTTTTTATCCTTTGACTCTTACATCAAATACTTTCTTCTGTGAAAAGAGCTGTTGCCCAAAGGCAACATAAAAGTAGCCTTGAGAACAAAGATGGACCAATTTGCTCCCGCCCACCTCCAGGAAGTAATTAAGAAGGCCCAGAGCAACTTTATGCAACACAAAGGCCAGATTCACCAACAAATGGTTCAGATGCTGTTTGGGTCATTTCAGACATATGGACTATCTCATTCAAGTTACTTAAAAGGACATCAAAATTAGAATGAAAAAAAAATTAAGGCATGTGTGCAAAGGGTATTAGACACATTAGTTTTGTTTTGTTTTCCTGTTTTTCTTGGGGTGCTACAAATACTCTAAATACCCAAGATGAATTGGAAACAAAAATTATATACACAGGACAGACATTATTTTTAATTTACTCTTTTTTAGGTAGTTGAAAAAAATCCCTGAACGCTGGTTGGTGATGTGTGCCATACAAATACCACTATATCACCCTATGAAAAGTGCATGAATCAGGGTAAAGGGCCATTTGCTTGTTCTTTACAGTAAAAGGACATCAAAAAGTCAAAAGAAAGTAGTTTCAGGACTAAGGAATTCCTACCTATCCCTAAACTTGAGTATCCTAACATTCTGCATTTTATCCTATAGGAAATTTGCAAATATGATGCAGTATACTGAGACTCATACTGAGAATCAATCATATACATATTCCACTAAGTAATGAAAAATAGCAAAGTACGTGTTAAATTGTTTTAAAGGTTATTTCCAAGCATTGATGTGTCTGTGCATGTCTGTAGTAAAACCTCCAAAGATACCCTTAGTTCTCAATATTTAATATTTGAATGAAATTAAAAAATGTTGTCATGTTATGATGTCTTTGGCTTCTAAAAAATTATTTGTAAACCTAACTTACGTGAATAATTTTATTTGCATGAGCCTACTCTGATGACCACTTGGGAATATGGTTATAATTCTGCTTTTGATATATCAAAGAGTAAAAACCATCTCCACATTATGCTTTATTTAAAATTAACAAAATGATAAACACAGTTACAAGTAAATGGCAATTCAGTACATTTAGTTGGATAATATTTTTAAAAATTACATATTCACAAGTACACAGATCTTTTACCAACATCGAACATTTTAGTCTATGTAGTCAAAGTCTTCTGGAATTCCAAAATTTTTATCAATTTTATTTTCTTCCAAACCAAATTTTCTTTTGGCCCAAGATTTTATTGCAAATATATTATCTATAAAGAAAATTGAGAAATATTTTTAAGAGTTGAAAACACAATGATAAAACATTTCAAATATAATTCTATTCTTTTTTGTTACTACTACTTTCAGAAGTATCAACATAAGAAGTTTGCTGTATTTTCAGAAGTAATAACAATTAATTTCAGAAGAAAGAAAATAATATTTTGAGTAGCCAGATCGCATATTTAAACTTTCAGCAACTTAGCTGCCAGTAAAGAATACCTGCGTTAAGAATAATCCAAAAACAGGGAAAGGCCAACAATGGTGTCTCTTCCACATTTCCACAGCACAGGCCAGGACTCTGTTATCTCAGGAATTATAGTTGCTCCTGTCCCCAGAGGGTAGACATTCTCTCCAGACCTTTCCCTCTGCCCCACAGATAATAATGGTTTCCAGATAATCAGGCCAGCCGGAGGGAGAAGTGGTACAGAGAACAGAAGGTACTTTGCCTATCTTAAGACTAGGGTAGGAATAGATGTAGTCTTATTGTCCTCTACGGGGAATTTAAAATGCATTTTGCTGCTTGAAAAAAGTGTTATATTTACTTAAAAGAATTTACTCCAAGGCAGCAAAATAAATTGTGTACAAAGATTTATGGTTACACCTTTATCGCAGTGGAACAAAAGAAAAAATAAAAGCAATCTAAATATCTAATCTCTTGGAAAGGCACCTCCGCACAGGCAGTGAGGGAAGCTGGGTAACCCTAACATGGTCACAGTGGCTGCACCTGGGGAATGGGCAACAGTGAGGTTTTTCTATGTTTTTTTTTTTTTCACACATTTTCTCTAATGTACATAAATCACGTTTGCAATGAACATGCTTTATAGATATAGAGAAATGATGGTGTGAAGTTTTCTGGTTCAGAATATTCTACAAAATATTAAGTTCTGTATTGACAGTGATAATGAGGGGTTAAAAGAGGTTCCTCTGGAGTGTCACAGGCTGAATGTGTCACCTTCCCCAAATTCATATTCAAATTAATTGTAGTCCTAGCATGCGGTACCTAAGAATGGAAACTGAGTCCTCAAAAAGGTGATTAAGTTAAAATGAACTTGTTAAGGGTGGCCCTAATCCAACCTGCTTCGTGTTCTCAGGAGAAAAGGAAATGTGGATACACTGATATCGTGAGTACGCACAGAAAAGACCATGTGAAGACACAAGAAGATGGCCACCTACAAGCCAAAGAGAGAGAGACCTCAGAAGAAATCAAACTGGCTAACACCTTGATTTTGGACTTCCAGCATTCACAAGCGTGACAAAATAAGTTTCATTTGTTTAAGCCACCCAGCCTGAAGCACAGACACACCTCATTTTACTGTATTTTGCAGTGTATTTTTTATGTAGTGAAGGTGTGTGGCAACTGTATATTAGCAAGACTATCAGCACCATTCTTCCAACAGCATTTGCTCACTTCATATATTTATTATATCACATTTTGGTAATTTTCACATATTTGAAACATTTTCTTCATTATTATTATTATTATTATTATTATTATATATGTTATGGTGATGTGAGCAGTGATCTTTGATGTTACTATTGTAATTGTTTTGGGGTGCCACAAACTATACCCATGTAAGATGGCAAAATTAACTGATAAATGTTCTGTGTCTTCTGACAGTCCCACCAACTAGCTGTTCCCCCACCCCTCTCAGCTCCTCAGACCTCCCTATTTTTCGGACACATGTTACTGAAATTAGGCCAATGAATTAAACTCCACAATGGCCTCTGAGTGTTCAAGTGAAAAGAAGAGTTGCACATCTCTCATTTTAATTCAAAAGCTAGAAATAATTAAGCTTAGTGAGGAAAACGCGTCAAAAGCCAAAACAGGCTGAAAACTCGGCCTCTTGTGCCAGACAGCCAAGTAGTGAGTGCAAAGAAAGAGTTCTTGAAAGAAACTACAAGTGCTACTCTGAAGAACACACAAATGACAAGAAAGTGAAACAGCCTCATTGCTGATGTGGAGAAAGTGTGAGTGGTCTGGATAGAAGGTCAACATTCCCTTAAGCCAAAGCCTGATCCAGAGCAAGGCCCTGACTCTCCTCAATACTGTGAAGGCTGAGAGAGGCGAGGAAACTGCAGAAAGAGAGTGCAGAGCTAGCAGACCCTGCTTCATGAGGCTTAAGGAAAGATGCCATCTCCATGACATCAAAGTGCAAGGTGAAGCAGCAAGTGCTGATGGAGAAGCCGCAGCAAGTCATCCAGAAGATCCACCTAAGAGAATTCATGAAGGTGGCCACACTAAACAACAGATTTTCAACATAGATGAAACAGCCTTCTACTAAAAGAAGATGCCATCTGAGACTTTCATAGAGAGGAGAAGTCAGTGCCTGGGTTCAAAGCTTCAAAGGACAGGATGATTCTCTTGTTGGGCCAATGTAGCTGATGACTTTAAGCTAAAGCCTGTGCTCATTTACCGTTCCCCAAATCCTAGAGCCCTTAAGAACTCTGTTAAATCTACTCTGCCTGTGCTCCACAGTGAAAGAAAGCCTGGATGAGAGCACGTCTGTTTGCAACATAGTTTACTGACTATTTTAACGCACTTTTGAGACCTACTGCACAGAATAAAAGATTCCTTTCAAAATATGACTGCTCATTGGTAATACACCTGTCACCCAAGAGCTCTCTGATGGAGATGTATGAGATTAGTGTTGTTTTCATACCTGTTAACACAACATCCATTCTGTGGCCCAGGGATCAAGGAGTAGTTTTGACTTTCAAGTCTTCTTACTGTATAAGGCTATGGGGCGCCTGGGTGGCTTAGTCGGTTAAGTGTCCGACTTTTGCTTAGGTCATGATCTCATGGTTCGCGAGTTTGAGCCCCGCGTCGGGCTCTGTGCTGACTGCCAGCTCAGAGCCTGGAGACTGTTTCGGAGTCTGTGTCTCCCTCTCTCTCTGACCCTCCCCTGCTCACGCTGTCTCTCTCTCTCCTAGAAATAAATAAAAAAATATGTAAAAAAAAAAAAAAAAGAAAAATATTAAAAAAAAAAGAAATATACTGTATAAGGCTATAGCTGCCATAGATAGTGATCCCTTTGATGAATCTGAACAAAGTAAATTAAAAACCTCTGGAAAGGATTCACCATTCTAGATGTTATTAAGAACATCCATGACTCATGGGAAAAAGTAAAAATATCAACATTAACAAAAGTTTGAAAAAAGTTGGTTCCAACCCTCAAGGATGACTTTGAGAGGTTCAAGACTTCAGCGGAGGAAGTAGCTACAGATGTGGTGGGAACAGGGAGAATTAGAATTAGAGGCGGAGCCTAAAGATGTGATTGAATTGCTGCGATCTCATGATGAAACTTAAACAGATGAGGAGTTCTCATGCATGAGCAAAGAAAGTGATTTCTTGAAATGGAATCTATTACTGGAGAAGGTGCTGTGAAGATTGCTGAAATGACCAATAAAGGATTTAGAATGTTACACAAACTTAACTGATAAAGCAGCAGCAGGGTTTGAGAGAAGTACTCCAATTTTGAAAGAAGTTCTATTGTAAATAAAATGCTAACAAACAGCATCACACGCTATAGGGAAATAATTCATGAAAGGAAGAGTCAATCAATGTGGCAAACCTCATTGCTATCTTATTTTAAAAAAAGTGCTGCAGCCACCCTGACCTTCAGCAGCCACCACCCTTATCAGTCGGCAGCCATCAGCACGCAAGCAAGCCTCTCCACCAGCAAAAAAATTACAGCTCGCTGAAAGCTCAGATGATGGTTGGTATTTTTTAGCAATAAAGTATTTTTATTTTTTTTTTTAAGTTTAATTTATTTGAGTGAGACAGAGACAGTGTGAGTGGGGAAGGGGTAGAGAGGGAGAGAGAGAGAATCCCAAGCAGGCTCCACGTATGTTTACCTGACTGGGCTAGCCAGGTGCCCCAGCAATAAAGTATTTTTAAATTAAGGTAAGTACATTGATTTTTTAGACATAATGCTATTGCCCACTTAATAGACTATAGTATTGTGTACACATAACTTTTATATGTAGTAGGAAACAAAAATTTCATTTGACTCACTTTGTTATAATATTCACTTTACTGCAGTCTTCTGGAACCAAACCTGAGATGTCTCCCAGGTATGACTATTTTATGTTACACTTAACAAATTACTACTTGGAATTTGATCACCTTTAAAAATACTGTTTTAGGAAGTTTAATTCCAAGTATCAAATAATGATAACTAAATGTTTGGGATAAAGTTTGTTTCTAAGTGAATACTACATCAAACAGTAACATTAGGGGCACCTGGGTGGCTCAGTCGGTTAAGCGTCTGACTTTGGCTCAGGTCATGATCTCACAGTTCGTGGGTTGGAGCCCCACGTCAGGCTCTGTGCTGACAGCCAGTTCAGAGCCTGGAGCCTGCTTCAGATTCTGTGTCTCCCTCTCTCTCTGACCCTCCCCTGCTCACACTGTCTCTCTCTCTCTCTCAAAAATAAATATTAAAAAACAAACAAAAAAAAACAGTAACATTAATGAAATATCCCCAATTCTCTCAATTAAAGTATAATGGAATAACAGATATTAAAAAATGAATGCCTATGTAACAATTTAAAACAAATCTTTAGTTTTCATGAGGACCTAAGAGAGACTGCTAATAACATGAAGCACTCCAGAATGATCTGTTTAGTTTAGTGTCTACATCACCATACATTCTGGTCAATCACAGTCAAATACTTATATAGGGCACACTGCTACATAAAATGGGTATTAAGTGTATTACAGGTACACTTAATATAAATTGTTTATAATGTAAACAGCCTATGCCTTCAAGCTGACACACGAGTAGAGAGAAAAATCAATTTATTACTAAATAATTCCAAAGTGTTATGCATGTTAAAGAGAAAAGATCAAGTATTATGTATATGGCTTCCAGAACAGGCTCCAAAAGCACAGAAAGATTTCCGGGAAATGAGAGAACAGATGCAACACTGCAGGAAGCTTGAAAGAAAGGACTTCAAACCTAGATCAGGAAAGAAAGGAATAAGGCACCACAGTAAGGCTACAGGCTTTGTAGGAAGGAGTTGCTGGTTTACATGAGAGGAAGAAACCATTTTATTACAAACTTCCAAAGATTACACTTGATGTTAGCCAAAAGGTGAAGAAGCAATTAAACCTCCAAAGATTAAAACAAACAGAAGAACAAATAAAAGCCCATTCAGAACAATGCTTAATGGACAAATTAAAAAAAACTGACTAATAACGTATCTTCGGCTGCTGGATGTCTGCCTTCAAGACAATGTCACCTGCAATCTTGATAATTCATTTCCCTCATCAAATAATATTTCTATTATGTGGAAATTTTTATAAATAGATAAAAAAATAGGTGTGTGTGTGTTTGTGTGTGTGTTTTAAAGAAACAGCCCTAAGACTAGTAGAATTTCTGTTAATTTCTAAGGTGGTATACCAAGTATATGTATAGAAATAGGATGGCAATACCACATGCATGAGTCTGTTTATGATCTCACAACATTTATTCCCCCCCCATTCACTATGATGCTTCTGAGACATAGTCATAACTTCAGTATGTTAATTATTAAACAAGGTTTTATAAAATGTTAAATCACATAAAGTGTATTTAATGCCATAAATCATTTAGATGTGATATTTCTACTTATATCCTGAGGTAATCTCTTATTTTATAAAACTGAAATACTAAATTACTAAACAGTAAATATCCTCCATCCTGGATACATTTTAAAGACCTTTTTTAGGTAAAAGGAAAACCAAACCTTAACTAATAATTACAGAACAGTCTTTAGTTACAAGTATTACAGATGTTTTATTTTTGTTTTGAAGACAGGCTGGTTTTCTGAGGTGTGATTTGTTATAACTCCAAGCTCTTATAACATTTTTCTGTTGGAAGGAGCAAGTTACTTCAAATGGAAATATGGTTCCTAACAGCTGTTTTTCTACTATGCTAAAAATATCTTCCTTCCTATATGATTTTACAAGTTTTAGATCCGGGGCTTCTGGGTGGCTCAATTGGTTTAGCATCCGACTTCAGCTCAGGTCATGATCTCACGGTTCATGAGTTCGTGCCCTGCACTAGGCTCTGTGCTGACAGAGCAGGCTTGGATTCTGTGTCTCCCTCTCTCTCTGCCTCTCCCCTGTTCATGCTCACTCTCTCTTGCTCTCTCAAATAAACAAACATTAAAAATTTTTTTTCTTAAAGTTTCAGGTTCTTTCTCAGCTAGTAACATTAGGGGAAAAAGAAGTTGTTCAAATTGTTCCTTTTTTTCATCATAACTGGAAGTTTATGATCAAGTGGAAAACAAATGGATTTTTTAAGAGGAAATGGGAAAAGTGGAGTATTTGTTCATCTATGTGTCTAACATTGTGTTAAAGGGCTTACAAACTGTTCTATTTAATCCTCCTAAAATGCAAAGTAGATATAATCTACACTGAAGAAGCAAGTTCAGAGAAGTTCAGTAAGTCATGTATCAAATAAGGAACACAATCTAGATTCCTTTCAAAAGTCCAAGTTCTCACCGTGCACACAGGCTGGATGTTCCTACTGCTAACTGAGCTGCTTTGCTGAGAACTATTGGGGGCAATTACTTTGTGACTCTTCTTATTTTTAATCCACTTGCCTTTTTTCCTTACTCAAAATTTTGTATTTCTCAAATCCATATAATGTCACTATATTTATTATTTATTTATACTTACTGAAACACATTTCATTCTTCTCTTTTCTTTAATGGGAGCTTGATGTTTTTACCCTCTTCTTTCCTTATCACTAAACCATTACATTATTTATGAAATGTATTACTTTTGTAATAAATAAGATTGTAATTTTATAGGAACCAAAGACCAATTACATTGATTTTATCAATCTACTTAATTCTAAAATAGACAAGGAAGAGTGATTAAAAAAATTTTTTTTAATGTTTATTTTTTGAGAGAGAGGGAGAATGCAAGCAGGGAATGGGCAGAGAAAGAAACAAAGGACCCAAAGCAGGCTCTACACTGACAGCAGAGAGCCCAGTGCGGGGCCTGATCCCATGAACTTTGAAATCATAACCCAAGGGGCGCCTGGGTGGCTCAGTCAGTTGAGCGTCCGACTTCGGCTCAGGTCATCATCTCACAGTTCGTGGGTTCGAGCCTCGCATCAGGCTCTGTGCTGACAGCTAGCTCAGAGCCTGGAGCCTGTTTCAGAGTCTGCATCTCCCTCTCTCTCTAACCCTCCCCTGCTCACACGGTCTCTCTCTCTCTCAGAAATAAAGAAAAAACATTTTAAAAAATAAATAAATAAAAATTTTGAAATCATGACCTGAGCTGAAGGCAGACACTTAACCAACTAAGCCATTCAGGTGCCCCTAGGAAGAGTGATTTTTTTTTCTTAATTAAAAAAAAATTTTTAATGTTTATTTATTTTACGTGTGGGGGGAGAGGAAGGGAGGGGGAGAGAGACAGCGAGCGAGCAGGCACGCAGGGGAGAGGCCGAGAGAGAGGGAGACACAGAATCCAAAGCAGGCTCCAAGCTCTGAGCTGTCAGCATAGGGTGTGACGTGGGGCTCAAACTCATGAATGGGGAGATTATGACCTGAGCTGAAGTCGGATGCTTAACTGAGTTAAGCCACCCAGGCGCCCCAGGAAGAGTGATTCTTAAACATTTTGTGACATACAGAGGCCTGGACATGAGGTCAGGAAACCTGGAGCAAATCTTTGTACACCCTGTGACTAATCACCTCTGACTCAACGCAGTCACTTTAAATTTTCTGGATCTCTGCATCAATACAATCTTACCCATACTCTCCCACAGAAACAGAATAAGGATGGGTAGTACATGTGAAGGCATTATAGACTCTCTTATCAGGATGGTAAAGTTCAATTACCATTACATTATAATACCAGAAAAACATCAGTGTAATTTATAGACAGGTTTTAACAAGGCTAATCATACCTCTATGTAAATGACAACATCATTATTTGTGAACTTTCTTCTAAACTTTAAGACACAGAGAAAATGTCTTACTAATTCCCATTTCTTAGAACGTCTCTGGTGAAGACCAGAGGGTACATCCATTGGCAAATGGATTAATGAGGCATTTCTATGAAAGCAGGTATACGAGAAGATAGTATCATTTGGTGGGTAAAAGCTCGGACTCTGGAATCAGAAAAGCTGTATTCTAATTCCTGCTCCACTGCCTGCATCTGTGTCACTGTGGGCTCCTGATGGCTTCAGTTTGAGCTCTAAAATTAGGGATGATAATCCTATTTACCTCACAAGATTGTTGCAGAGGTAAAATGAGAATGTACCACAGATACTCTTTACAATGGCTGGCTGACAGTCAGCCCGCAACAAATGGTAGCTATTATTATTATTAGCAAGAAGACAAATCTTTCGGATTCCATGAAATTCTTTAAAGTGTCTTGCGTTAATATATGGAAGGTTAAGTGATTAGCCTAAGTGGCTTATCTAGGAATAATTACACAAAAGTTAAACTTCAAGCAATCATTGGTTTTACAAAAATATGGTGTACTTTACAAAATGATTCATAGTAAGATTTAAAAAAACAACTTTAAGTAGCCCAAATGATTTAATGTATAAAAATAATATATACATTTCTGAAGATGTCTTTTCTTGAACAGAACTAGCTACAATTACTTCTGCATTTCATATCATAGTAAGTATGAAAAAGTTTAACATTAGCTTATTGGTGCCATTATAATACATACCAGTCCATCTGTTAGCGGCTTCTTTGGCTACTTGATTTGCTTGACCTGAAAAAGAGTATATATATGAATAATCATGTTCATCTATTCAAAGATTCTTTTTTTTTTTTTTTTACATGAACAAAAGGTTATACAAATAAAACTATATGTAAAAACCTCAAATCGAGACAGAATCCGAAACAAGCTCCAGGTATCTTGATACACAAAAGTTGTTAATTTTGATGAAGTCAAATTGATCTATTTTTTTCTTTAGTTGTTTGAGTTTTGGTGTCCTGTCCAAGAATCTGTGGCCTAATCCAAGAATAGAAGAGATATATACTTATGTTTGCAACTAAAAGTTTTATAGTTTCTTACACTTAGGTCTTTGATCTGTTAGAGTTAGTTTTTGTATATGGTCTGAGATGGGAGTCCAGGTTGATTCATTTACATGTAGATAACCAGTTGTGCCTAGCACCATTAGTTGAAAACACTATTCTTTCCTGATTGAATGGTCTTGGCATCCTTGTTAAAAAATCATTTGAGTTTAGGGGCACCTGGGTAGCTTAGTCAGTTAAATGTCCAACTTCGGCTCAGGTCATGATCTCACTGTTCATTGAGTTTGAGCACCACATGGGGCTCTATGCTGACAGCTCAGAGACTGGAGCCTGCTTCCAATTCTGTCTCCCTCTCTCTCTGCCCCTCCCCTGCTCATGCTGTCTCTGTCTCAAAAAGAAGTCAACATCAAAAAAAAAATTAAAAATCAGTTAGGTTTACTTCTGGACTCTCAATTCTGTTAACCTCTCATCACTCAGTATGTCTAATTTTTTTTTTCTAAGTAATCTCTACACCCAACATGGAGCTTGAACTCACAACTCCAAGATCAAGAGTCACATACTCTACTGACTGAGTCAGCCAGATGCTCCTGTATGTCTATTTCCTATACTAACACCATACTCTCTTGATTATTGTAGCTCTTTGTAAAAGGTTTTGAAGCTGGGAAATTTGAGTCTTTCAACTTTGTTGTTCTCTTTCAAGATATTTTTTGGTTATTCTGGGTCCTCTGCATTTTCATACGAATTTTATGATCAACTTATCAATTTCTACAAAAAAGTAGTTAGAATTTTGATAGGTTTTATACTGAATCTGTAGATTTGAGGAGTATTTCCATCTTAACAATATTAAGTCTTTCTATAAATACAGAATGTCTATTTATACAGGTCTTTAGTTTCATCCAATGTTTTGTACTTTTCAGGACAAATATTTCACTTCCTTGACTAATTCTATTCCCAAGTACTTCATTCATTTGGGTGTTATTGTAAATGCATTTTTAAAATTTTATTTTTAGATAGTTCATTGTTAGTATTTAAGATACATATGATTTTTGCATATTGATTTCTGTATCCTACAGCCTGCTGACCTCACTTACTATTCAACATGGATGCTTTTATTTCTTTTTTGCCTAATTGGGCTGGCTTGAACTCTCAGTACAATGTTGAATAGAAGTGGTCAGAAAGGTCATTCTTGGAGAAAGCATGCAGCCTCTGACCATTCAACAGGATGTTAGCTGTAGATGTGTTGTCCTTTTTAAATGAGGAAGTTCACTTCTATTCCTAGTCTGTTGAGTTTGTTTAATGAAAGGGTGGTGGATTTTGCCAATTTTTTTTTGTCTATTAAGACAATCATGCTGTTACTGTCACAAATTACATTGTATATTTTGTGCCCAACAAAATAGGCTTACCATTATTGTGTATGCAGCTGTCTTTTATTTATTTTTAAATGTTTTATTTATTTCTAGTATAGAGAGAGAGAGAGAGAGAGACAGCGTGAGCAGGGGAGGGTCAGAGAGAGGGGGTCACAGACTGAAACAGGCTCCAGGCTCTGAGCTGGCAGTCAGCACAGAGCCCGACGCGGGGCTCGAACCCACAAACCACGAGATCATGACCTAAGCGAAAGTCAGACGCTCAACCGACTAAGCCACCCAGGTGCCCCAATGCAGCTGTATTTTAAATAAAATAGAAGAACCATAAGGAGATACAAACAAAAATACATACATGCTGTCTTCTATATTTACCTATTAAGTAATCTGTACCAGCATTTCTTATGTTACTGTGTAGTGTCCTTTCAATTCAATGAGAAAGTCTTCCATATTTTGTTAGGACAGGTCTGCTAATGACAAACTCTCTCAGTTGTTGTTTACCTGGGAATGTCTTACTTTTCCTTCATTTTTGAAGGAAAATATTTCTGGGTATAGACTTCTTGGTTGGCAGTTATTTTCCCCCTAAATCACTTTGAATATGTCATCCCAATGCCTTTGGCCTCTATGCTTTCCAATAAGAAACAAGTTGTTAATCTGATTGAAGGTTCCTTGTATATGATGAATCACCTCCTCCTCGTTGCTTTCCAAGTTTCTCCATCATTAAAAAAAAAAAAATTCTCTATCATTTGACAATTTGAGTACGATGAGTCTATACATGCATCTTTTTGAGGGTGCCCTAAATTGGAGTTTAAGGTTTTTTTGATGTATAGATTAATGTTTTTCATCAAATTTGAGATGTTTTCAGCTCTTATATTTTCAAATATTCTTTGAGCTCCATTCTCTCCCCTCTCCTTCTAGGACCTACATTATTTTTATGTTGGCACTCTTAATGCCATGACACAGGTCTCTTGAGACTCCAATAATGTTGCTTCATTCTTTTTTTTTCTGTTCCTCAGACTGAATTATCTCAACTGAAATATCTCCAAGTCATTGATTCTTTCTTCTGCCTGCTCAAATTGTCTATTAATCAATCCCCTGAGTGAAATTTTTGTTTCAGTTATTGTAGTTTTCAATTCCAGCATTTCATTTGATTCCTTTTTAATAATTTCTACATCTTTGCTGATATTCTCTATTCAGTGAGGTATCATTCTCAGACTTCCCTTTAGTTCTTGAGGTATGTTTTCTTTAGCTCTTTTAACATATTTAAAAACAGCTGACTGAAAGTCTGTGTCTGGCAGCCCAACATCACATATGTTTCAGTGCATAAACCATATTTTCTTTGTAGATCTTGCAGGGTTTTTTTGTTGTTGAAAATTGGGACATTTTAAATAACATAATGTGGCAACTCTGGAAATCAGATACTGCCTCCCTTCACAGGGTTGTTTGGGTACTTGTTGTTATTGTCTGTTTAGTGATTTGTCTGAACAAATTCTGTAAAGTCTATATTCTTTATGATATGAGGCCACTGAAGTCTCACTTACTAGGCAGTTAGTAATTGAACACAGATTTCCTTAAACACCTAGACTAAAACTCCAGGTCTTTGCTGAGCAGCTCTGTGTGTGTGTTGGGGGAGGTTTCAACACTCAGCTAGGCAACTTACAACCCTGCCTTAGCTTTCAGTTCCTGCATGCCCTGAGTGCCAATGTCTGCTAGAGGTGGGAGATGAGGAACTTCCCAGGACTTTCCTGGGAATGTGCACAGCCCTATGCATATGGCCTTCTTGTTTTCCAAAAATACGGTGCTTTTTAAGGCACCTATAACATGTCTTGCAGCCTCTCCTTTTAAGCTCTTTGATTAGTCTACTGTTTGCCTTAACTGTTATTCATCAGCTCAAACAGCTGTGGGGTTAAAACTCTTGTCTGTAGCTGTTTTAGACAAATGCCCCCCAGAAAGAGGCTGTTGGCACTGGGCATACTACAAGCCAGATCAAATAAAGATAATTCTTCTTATTGGTGGCTTTCAGAGAACCATCAAAGATGTCAAATAGTGACAACTTGGGAAAATGAAGATCTTAAAGAGCTCCAGCTCCAATTTACTCTCTCTGATACGAGGAATGCAGGGCTCTTATTTTTCAAGGTTACTGCTGAGCTACAGAGTAGTGGTTAAGAATAGGGCAACTTAAAATAGCCTAAAGCTTATTATTCTTGCTGAGATTCAGTCATTTTTCTTGAATAGGCAAATCTTTGGTTATTTTCTAGAATTCTGGAAAAGGTGTGACAGTTTCTGCCAGCTTTCCTGGAAGGATAAATTTTCAGAGATCCTTACGCCATCATTTTCACTGTCATCCCGGCATTTTCAAAAATATTTCTTAAGTACCTCTAAGATTTACTTTCAAGTATTTTTGTAGGAATTCAATTTTTACTACAACTTATTTTATCTGTTCTCACTTTAGTAATGGTCAGATAGCTAAAATTGAATTTTATTTTTCATACATTATGGCTTTTACTTCTCACTTCTTAGATATCTGCAACTAATCCTGTCAATAATTAACGTAGATACCAATAAGCATCTAACATGATGAAATATAAATATTTCCTGCAAGAATTATTGAGAAATAAAAGATAAGTCATGTCTACATGAACATAAAAATTAGTTATTATCAACAGAAAAACTGTTTCAAAATAAACTATGACAGACTTAGAGATTAGTCTAGGTTGTAATATGGGTGCTACAGCTACATTATTAAGAACCAAATCTTATTAAAATCAATTTATGAAACTCATAATCCTTTAATCCAGTATAATCTTTTCTGCAATAACATGATAGCCAAAATCCTACGAAACCTCTCATTATCAAAAACCATGTTTTAAAAGCAATAATCTCTTTGGGGAAAGGAAATAATCTCATTTGGGGGAATAGAGGTTAAAATCCAAAAAAAATTCTCTAGATTTAGTAATGAGATTACTACCACTTACTACTTAAATGTTTAAATTTCTTAAATCTTGAGTTTATAGTTTACTTCAAATTTGAAAAAAAATAGCCTTTACTTCTGATATTTATTTCTTCAGGTATTTTTCAGGCTTGGACACACACACACACACACACACCACCCTATGACCCCAGCATACACTCCTTTTGGAACTTTGATTACACATGTATTAGGTCACTTGAAATTGTCCTACATTTTAGGGATTTAATGCTATTTGCATGAAAAAATTTATTTTTCCTGAGTTTCATTTTGGATACTTTCTACAGCTAGTCTTCAAATACATGAATCCTTTCTCTGAAAAGTTTAATCTGCTATCAATCCAACCCAATATATTTCTCATTTCAGACACTGTAGTGTTGAACTCCAGAACTTTTATATCTTCCATGTTTGTTTGTTTGTTTTTTAATGTTTATTTTTGAGAGAGAGAGAATGAACTAGCAGATAAGGGGCAAAGAGAGAGGAAGACACAGAATCCAAAGTAGGCTCTGGGTTCTGAGCTGTCAGTACATAGGGGTAGAACACATGAACCTTGAGATCATGACCTGAGCCAAAGTTGGATGCCCAACCAACTGAGCCATATAGTTGCCCCTATATCTTCCATATTTCTACTTAACTTTTGGAACATATACAATACATTTGTATTAGCTTTTAATGTTATGGTCTTCTGATTCTACTATCTGTATCAGTTCTGGGTGAGTTTTGATTGAAGGATAATTCTTTTCATTAAGAGTCATGTTGGGGCGCCTGGGTGGCTTAGTCGGTTAAGCGTCCGACTTTCGCTTAGGTCATGATCTCACGGTTCGTGGGTTCGAGCCCCGCGTCGGGCTCTGTGCTGACTGCCAACTCAGAGCCTGGAGCCTATTTCAGAGTCTGTGTCTCCCTCTCTCTCTGACTCTCCCCTGCTTACGCTGTCTCTCTCTCTCTCTCTCCTAGAAATAGATAAAAATATTTAAAAAAAAAAAGAAAAAGAGTCATGTCTTGCTACTTCTTTGCATGCCTGGTAATCTTTTATTAAATGCTAGACACTATGAATTTTATTTTGTTGGGTGCTGGGTATGTTTGTGTTCCTGTAAATATTCTTTAGCTTTGTTCTGGGATGCATTTAAGTGACTTTGCAATAGTTTGATGCTTTTGAGGTTTGCTGTTACGATTTGTTAGATGAGAGGAGAACAAAGCTCAGTCTAGGACTAATTAGTCCTTGTCAGTGAGGCAAGACGTTCTTGAATGCTCTACCCAATGTTCTGTGAATTATGCATTTTTCCAATCTGCCTGGTGAGAATAGGCACTACTCTTGGTCCTGTGTGAGTGCCAGGCACTGTTCCTTCTAATTCTTTGAAACTGTTGTTTCCCCAGCTTTGGGTAGTTTCCTCACATGCATGCACTAAATACTTGAGGGGAACCCTCTGTAGATTCCCAGGGTTCTCTTTCTGTGTAATTTCTCCTCTCTAGAAGGCCATCCTGTGAACTCTAGCCACACTGTGGCTGGTCTCTCTGATTCTCAGTTCCATCTACAGGGCTCTGCCTAGGTTCTCCTTCCTTGTGCCACAGCCCGGAAACTCACTAAAATAAACTAACACAATTTTAAGACCTAATTTGTTTCCTTTCTTTAAGAAGCATCATCCTTTATTGTCTGATATCAAGTATCTTAAGAACCTATTTGATATATTTTTTTGTGTGTTTTTTTTTAGGTGTGAGCATAAATTCAGTCTGTTACTACTCTATCTTGCCTACCAGTGGAAGTGCCACATCTGAATAAAATTTTGTTATCTGTTCTGAATTTTAAAAGCAGAGGAATTGGACACTCTCTTAATGCATTTTATAAAGATAGATAATATTTTTAATGTTGTAAAATGAAAATAATACAAAGCCAGGAAGGACCCTTATCCTCTTACCCCTACTAAGATCAGAAATGTACAATGTAAAAATGTCAAAAATTAATACACATGTAATCGATTCACCATTACAAAATTCTACAGCATCCAAATGTGGATCCATCTTCGGTGACTATATAATTAAATACAAAAAGATAATCTGGGTCTGACGTTGGTGAAGAATGGTAAAGTCTCTTAAGTCACTGTAAACCAGAAAACATTTTCTTCTCATGCACTTAGACCTCATAGCCTGCATAATACTCATTCACACTGACATGTTTTCCTTATGTTGACAAATAAATTACCAAACAGAAGGGTTAAGATGGAGAACAGAATTCAGGCAACCAGCATAAACTACAGTTATACCTTCCTCCTCAACTCTGCTATTCTACTCTTTAGAAATTTCATCAACCTTTATATACCTTGCAACTTCTTCCATCAAATTTCATCACCTTTCTAAGAGGTGAGGCAATTGCCAAAACTGCTGCTTGATTCAGAGGTACAAGGAATGGCAACAGCTGAAATTACATGCCTGAAACAAAGTTTTCCCAATGCATGAATTGGTCAGGCACAGTTCTCTGTCCTTGCGGATTTCCTGCAGCCCACGATGAGCCCCTGGTACAGGATCACCATCAGATAGGTCAGAGTAGGTTTGTAGGACTAAGTAGGTTTTAGCCATTCCTGAGTGGACAGAAGTAATCAAAATTATGAAAAAGATTATAAAAATAGGAGGTCACAAGCAGAAGTGATGTCAGGCAGGTCATCTGCCCAGGGAAAGAGCAATGGCAATATAATGGGGACCACAAAGTAGAAAAGCAGAAGCCTTGACTGGGCATGGGTATGAGCTGTAGGTCCTTGACAGAGGACAGAATGAAATGAGTAAGCCAAGAACCGGCACTATCAAGGAAAAGTCCCAGATTTACATAAAACTGCAGTCAGGAAGGCAGGCAGAGGGGCGCCTGGGTGGCTCAGTCGGTTAAGCTTCCGACTTCAGCTCAGGTCATGATCTCGAGGTTAGTGTGTTCGAGCCCCGCGTTGGACTCTGTGCTGACAGCTAGTTCAGAGCCTGTTTCAGATTCTGTATCTCCCTCTCTCCAACCCTCCCCTGCTCATGCTGTCTGTCTCTTTCTCTCTCAGAAATAAAACATAAAAATAAAAAAATTAAAAGGTAGGAAGGGAGAGCCAAGTAAGAGAACTAAGTGAAGGATCATATTTGATAACTGTGAAAACAGAATTTTCATGATGACCTACTATAGGGTACAGACATGCTGATCCTAAAACTAAACCACCTGAAGGCATTCAATCTGGGTAAGAAAACTGTTCTCAAAGCTCTCTTTCTTGAGAAGCTGCTCAAGACACACATTTGATGTCCTCTTTAACAAGCTACGTATATATTTCCTTTTAAAGATGAATCATGAGCAGGCCTAGCTTTCTCACAGTAACCTGCTACACTGCTTTGAGGTGCTCGTGTTCATGGAGGGTCATTTGATAATTAGTTAAAACTTTGAAACTGATTAAAGTGGTTAATTTTGTAGATTTGGTTAGCACTTTATTTTGTATATGATGATAAATGAAATCAATCTGTGGGCAACACTAAAGAGCTAATATGTCTCTCTAAATTACCTGATTTATAGAAAATGGCTGGCTGGAGGGGGCGGGTAAGTTCTTCAACCTCTACTTCTCTCTGAAAATCACCCTGGGTAATCAGCTGAACCAGGGCCAATACATATAATCATGTAGGCTGTGGACTATTGTGCGTAATTAATGCCTCCTGGGGTTGTGCAAAACAGGGATCTGTCTCTAAAATTAAATTTAACTTTAGAGTACACTAACTGAACTGCTTAAATACTTTTTAATTGCAAGGAATACCATCAAGGAAAGCTTAACTGTAATCAAATTACTCTCACGCTAATTTTATTTATTTATTGGTTTATTTACTTATTTATTTATTTATTTAGAAAGTGGGAGGAATAGAGGGAGAGGGCGAGAGAAGGGAAAAGAAGAAGAGAGAGGGAGAGGGGCAGAGGGGGAGGGGGGAGTGAGGGAGGGAGGGAGAGGGAGAGGGAGAACCTTAAGTGACCTGAGCTGAAATCAAGAGTCAGATGCTCAATGGACTGAGCCACCAAGGTGCGCCTCAAGTTAATTTTAAAGTACCAAATACTTTCAATTCCTCTCAAAGCCTTCAATCACATACTGTTAGTTTTTTCTAAAGTTTCACTTGGTGAAGTTCCCTAAATGAAAAGACAGGCTAAGACAGAAAAATGTGAAGAAATTTATAGATATTTTCCCAGGCAATTACATGCAGTGCCCTTATAATATACTCTTTCACTTCCTCAAATATTGAAATTTGTATCTTTATATAAATATAGAAAAATTATTTAAAATAAAGCTTTGGAGATTGGTTTTAAAAATAGAGGAAGACATCATTGGTATATTTAAAAGGCAAGTCAATGCAGAGACTGATTTTTTATAACTTGCAAACGCATATTTTTGGTAATGTCTTTCCTAGAAGATAATGAGGGATTTCGTTCTCAAGTCACTGTACGTGGGGCCAACTTAACTCCTCTGACTCTTCAGTTTCCTAAGCTTATATTTTATATCTTTATCCTTCTTAACCTCTCTTCCTTACCCTTGAAATGCTTTCAATTTCAAAGTTGTCACTGTAAAATGCTTTAATGTTAAGATTCTTTAATGGAAATATTAATGCAATATTAATACTATTATTGGCTCGATTTTCTCATTATACATGGACAACGGTTACCAGGCAACTAGAAGTATAAAGCCTCTTTCATTAGAAAAGTTAAAAACCTTCAAAATATGTTATAAACTTACGTATTTCTTCCACAACTTGTGGATCACATTCTCTGTATTTTTCTACTTCTGCCTTTAGCTGTTCCCTTTGGTCTCGAAGTGAAGAAAGCTCTTTCGCTAGCATGGTTCGCTCTTCCTGTGTTCAAAATAGTTTTATGTACAATTAAGACAAGTAAAAATGCCATGTGTTTTAAGGTTATACACTTTATAAACATTTTCATTTTATTTCTCATAACTAATGTGTACTAGGCTTCGGACGTTATATATACACATACCTATATTCACAGTATAAGAACAAACTCAATTCTCATTTTTCTCTGAAATCTCAAACATCTTCCATATATTGTGATTAATTTAATGGGATTGACTACGTGGAATCGACCACTCAAACAGATGAAAGGTCACTGATTATGTATGAACTTAAAGATGACTATGTCATCATATGTTAGGAAAAAGATAGTGCCTCTAAGATGGTTTTGTAAGATTGTATCTATATACAGAAGTAATATCTTACAGCAACATCATTATACAATTCTCCTTAAAAGTGTGGTAGACAATTTTTCAACCTTTAAAGATGATTAACCTTGAAAACTATTTAAAGAAGTCAGAAATAACAGAATTATTGCTGTGGTCTCCTATCACTTTCCTTTAAAGGTAAACCAGAATAAGCTTTTAGAACAACAGGATCCAATAAACACCACTTGAAATTTCACGCAAGAGTTCTCACTAACAGGGAGAAGTCACACTGCCATAGTTTTCAATTCATATGTGTGAAAGGTTATGGTACAGACTTATAGGATAAGCCTGAAGCAAAACCAAGTAGACTTCAAGCTGCCTGATGGGATTTATTAAGGTCCCTTGCTAGCTTATATTTTGGTACTTGTATTTTTTTACTTTTGCCTTTAACCATTCCCTTCCATTTCGAAGTGAAGAAAGCTCCTTTGCTAGCATTTAGTACAAGGGAATGCATACACAGGGCATCATGGTCTGACGCAGCATAATCCAACAGAACTCAACAATGACAGAAATGTTCTAGATCTGTGCTCTCCAATGCAGGAATCATTAGCCACGTCTACCTACTGAGTATGTGATATATGGCTATTGTTACTAAAAAAACTGAATTTAATTGCATATATTTTAAATTTAAATGTAAACAACTGTATATGATTACAGCATATACTAGATTAGTACAACTCAGAGGAGATTTTAAAAAATAACTGCAACAGGGGCGCCTGGGTGGCTAAGTCAGTTAAGTGTCTGACTCTTGGTTTGGCTCAGAACATGATCTCATGAGTTCAATTTGTGATCTAGGGAGTTCAAGCCCCATGTTGGGCTCTGTGCTGGCAGCACGGAGCCTGCTTGGGATTCCTTTTCTGTCCCCCTCCCCCGCCCTTCCTGTGCTCTCTCTCTCAAAATAAATAAACATGAAAAAAATAACTACAACATAAGATAATTATTATTTGCCATCCACACCCAAATTATACATGCTCCACAATGAGAAATGAGAGAAGCAGCAATGTGGGGAAGGGCCTGTGAGGAGCAGTGACAGTTCTGCAGACAGCCCAGCCTGGCAGACATCACAGACTGTTACTAGCACTGAGATACCTGCCAAGCTACTTAACTTTTTTGTGCCTTTTATTACTCAAATTAAAAACAGAGATACTAATAGTGGCTACTTCCTTGCACTGTGGGCAGGATTCAATAAATATAAAATGCACTGGGACAGTACTTGCCTGGCTCACAGTTAGCAGATTATAAATATTAGCTATCTCTTCATCATCATTATCATCGTCAGCAGCAGCAGCAGCAGCAGCAACAGCATGGATAATACCTAGTAAACTGTGGCTACGTGTTTCTAAAAAATCCTGATTGGTGTGCACACGATGAACATGAGTTCATCATTCTCAGAAGCCTTTCTAAATTACTACAGTCTTCCGAGAGCTGCAGGCACCAGCTAGGTTTTCTTCTAGTTGCAATAGATTCAGTGGGCTGGGTAACATGCAGCAGAAATTTTGGGGCATGGATATGTTATCATTAGTCGAAGGTGCTTCTATAATTTATTGCCACTGTTTAAGAAAAAAAAAGGGATCAAATAAAGAAATGGTAATTGCTCTGTCAATTAAAGAAATATATGGAAACCAACTTGACAATAAACTATTTGTAAAAAAAATAAATAAATAAAAATAAAATTCAGGGAAATAATAGTAAAAAAGAAAAGAAGAGAAGAGAAGAGAAGAGAAGAGAAAAAAAGAAAAGAAAAGAAAAGAAAAGAAAAGAAAAGAAAAGAAAAGAAAAGAAAAGAAAAGAAAAGAAAAGAAATATAACAGCTTCAGGTTATGCTAGAACTTACGTTCCCTTGGATATTCTACAAAAATTACCATACTCCAATTCCTATCTGTGACTGACTATTCACATAAAAGAAGGTATGTGAAATAATTGTGAAAAGCCACTATAAACCTGTGGTATATTCTTTTCTAGAATGTGACAGGTCTTCGAGGCTCTTTCACAATCAAGTGGTACAAACAGAGGCCTAGATGGAATGCTTAGTGGTGCCTGTTGATCTTTAATAGTTTTTCAAGTCATAAGTCCATACTTGAGATAAAGATGAAACTAGAAAGTAAAGTGATTGTTGAAAACCCCTAACATAATTTAGAGAACATTACACTTTTTAAAATAAAAGTGTCAGCATTCATGTAAATAATTCAAAACTATTACAAAACCCCAAGTATAACATATTGATAGTTTTCAATATGTTCTATGCCCAGATTTAAAAACATGACTGAAAATTTTACATAAGCATTTATAAAGGGCTCACCTGTACCAGACCCTCTTCTGAGTGCTTTGCAAATATAATCTAGTTTAATCCACACGATAACCCAAAGAGGTAGATTTTATTTCCTATTTTATAGCTAGGAAAACTGAGAACAGAGAATTTAGGAAACTTTCATTCCCAGGCCACCTGGCCCCAGAGTGTATTCTTCTATGTTATGCTGCCATATACAATATAATACAATAATAAAAAATAAATCTATACTTATAATTAGTGATTCCTGCCAGGTCCAATGTCCATGTCCTTTGCTGTACTCACCTCCCTTCTGGTAAGAATAGCATACTCCTCATAGGTAACTCTATGTTCTTATTTTTCTATTTAGAATTGATATTATTAAGGAATCTACAGACAGAAACTTACCGTTTCATGTCGGCCAACTTTAGCTTTCTCAATGCTCTTCTGTAGATTTGCATGCTTTTGGTTTCCCTCAGATAACTAGAGAATTAAAACAAACAAAATGGCTTCCAATGATGAACTTGATGAACATGTATTTATAAGTCAAGAAGTCAAGATGAGATTGTTTTCAGCCCAAGTTAGTGTAACAAATAAGTCAAAAACTACACTGGGAAATAATTTCTCTAATTTGAAGAAAACTAGGTACCATGAATAGTTAGGGCAGAATGAAAACAAAACAAAACAAACAATGCTGAAAAATATTTCCTCTCATCCAATCAGAAAAATCAGTAACATGCTTTCAATCTTTTCTTCAATCTTTATTTATCAGGTCCTCTAACTCCATGCCAAGGAACTTGAGGTATATTATTAGTTAAAAATTGAATTTTAAGTGACGAATCACTAAATTCTACTCCTGAAACCAAAACTATACGTTAGCTAACACAAATTTAAATTAAAAAAATGAATTTGAAAATTCAAAAAAAAATGTTTTATATACATTCTTTCTTCAAATTTCATTTCACTTCTGCCTCAAGTGAAATAAAACACTCTAGACTTTCTTACAGATTTGTAATATTATGGTCTATCCCACTGACAGAGTAAAAAATGAATGCCTCACTTATTTTTCTTAAATCAGGTACATTATGAGGCATTACATACTTGATATACTAAGTTCTTCAAGAAGAAAAAATTTATTAGCCTTTTGCAGATTTTAAGCATGTTTTACATACCTTAAAAGTGATCAGTTCAAGTACTGTACTACTGTACACTTGCTTAGAAAGTGACAAGTTATATGCAGAAGTGGATTAAATAACACCAGCAATTAAAGAGACCATAAATATAGACTATTCATTAGCATATGGCTGGACCTACATCAAATAAGGACTGGTTAACCTCAAAATTTTATTAATCTTTGTCTCAATTTTATTAATCTCACCTGGGCCTATGACTAAATAATCACAGGATATTCCCAATACTAAATTCACCACCACATCTTCTGGTAGTTAGAAATTTCAGACTCATATGATTAAGAGCCTTGTTAAAAACTATTCCACTCCTCTCTCACTCTTGAGTTACAAACATTTAGAAAATAATTAACAATTGGATGAATTTCTTCAGGCTGATTATAAGAAGCTGACCTTTCACAATATGACCTAGTTGTATGTAGAGGGTGAATAATATTTATTATATGTCATAGATTAAAAATCACAAACAGTATTTCCAAAAAGTTAGTGGCTTTCACCTGGCTTTAGGAAATCTTCCATTTTTCAATATGCATAAGGGAAACCTTGTCAGTTTTCCTTTAATGGCTCTCTAGTCACTGATCCTAATCCACAGCACGGACAAGATCCATCTGTGATGCCAAGAAGACACCACCACCAAACCAGTTATACCTCTTCTGTGAGTAATTATCTTCTGAAGTTAAAAAAAAAAAAAAAAAGCATGCTGTAGATTTAGGAGCCAAAATAAGCTTTATAAAGTCTCCTAGATTTAACAAGAAGATCTAGTTCTTTAAAACAAAGGTTCCCATTTATAAAATAGTACCATGTTTAAAAAGTTAATATTCCACCCTGCAGGACTCCCCTGAAATATTAATAAAGACATGTGACATTTAAATTTAGGAGTAGAGACTCTTCCAGTGAAAAATACATATACCTATTAGCATAACATATTTCCATTAAAAATACTTTTTTAAGAAAACCAGATGTTATCCAAATAGTTATGTAAAAATAAGCCAATAATTACTACTGGATATATATCTTAATCATATTGATGAAATGTCTTCCAGGTATTGTATGGCTGCTTGTAATTATGTATAACTTAAAAGCATTTGAAAGAGAGCTAATTCAGGAATTCCTTAACTCTGAAAATAAAAGATCTGTTTTAAATATGATTTCATGATTTGTCCTTTTAAGTATGTTGGTAATGGGGGAAGGCACAACCTAAATGATACGCTCAAATGAGAAGCATCTGCTAATTACCCGAAGTACTGAAGCAACTTGGTTCAGCTCAACAGGGAAGGACTCCTGGCTCTGTTCTCAAAATCTCACCTACCAGGAACGATGAAAGCAACTCCTGTGAGGCGGCCCTTGCTAACAGCTTTTATCTACACATCTCTCAGAAGCAATATTGCTAAAGTTCTTAACACACACCCCGGAATTAAACCAGACCCAAGGTTTTAAGTAATAAGTGTGGAGATTTTTAGCCACTGTACAGATATTATCTAAACCAATGGTCTCAAACTTGAGCATATATCAGAATCACCTGAAGGGCTTGTTAAACACAGGTCACCAGGCTACACCACACAGTTTCTGAATAGTAGGTCTGGAATAGAACCAAATAATCTGTATTTCTAACACACTCTCAGGTGATGGGAGATGCTGATAATTCTGGTGTGGGGGCACCACACTTCTGAGAACTACTGGTCTAAACAAAAACCTGTATTGTACAATAACAAACCCAACTAAAATACACAAGATATTTATATATGGGAGAATATTATCTAGTTCATCAGCAAAAATGAATTACTGCTAATTCACTGTAGCCTGAACTAGAAACAAAATATCTTAATAATTCTGTCACTAGAAGAAATACAAAAGACCACATTTACACCAATAGAAAAATGAGTGATACTCTATATTCCAGAAAGGTGTTCACCATAAAGTCCCTTTGAAGAGCACTCTATATACATTTCCATAAATAAGAACCAATTATATGCTATACCAAGTCCATTTCCTACTTTCATTAAATAATTTTTTAAAACCCAGCGACTCAGAACAAACAACAGTAACAATAACAGATACTACTATTAGTAAGAAGAGGATTCCATCTTCAGATTTGAGGACCTGACACAATGCCTCTCTTTAATGCATTCCAGACCACCTATACAGATACTGAGGGTTCAGAAATGTAATGCCAATGTTTTCTAAAGGGCTAATTCTGTGCCTGGAGGAACTGCCTATTCATGAAGAACAGAAAGACTTGATTCAAGCTGGCTGCACTGGAATTCTGATCTGGTTCTTTTAGGAAATAAAAAAATGTCAAAGCATTAGGGAAGGAACATAGAGGTTTCCATAGGTGGAAAAGAATGTCAGGGAACAGAGAATGCAGAAGAGGTAACAGCAAGGGAAACCAGACCAGTCTACTGCTTTATCAAGACTCACATATAATATATTATGGAAAAGTAGATTCTCTGTCTTTTGTTTCTCCTTACAAAAAAAAAAAGCAGTATCACTAACTTTAATGTATCTAAAAAGTCTTGTTAGAATATAATTTTAAAATTTACCTTTTAAGGTGATATTTCATTTAGGCATCAGTGACAAGGAAACTATGAACACTGAAAAGACATATATAAAGATGAGAGCCATGTAATTGCCTTATCAACAGAGAAATCTTAAATCAGTATTTCATGGTATGAATGTGTCACAATTATGTGGCCAAAGGAAATGTTTTGGAAGAATTTTTAATGACACTATAAAATACAGAATAGAGTTCTTAAAAAGCTGGAAACATGACTGTCAATACATTTGAGAGCCTATCCATGACAAAAAAAAAGAAAAAAACAACTCTGCAATACACAAAATTTTGAAAATGGTTATCTCTGTATTGTGGATTATATTTTTAAACTTTCTATATAATAAGCATATGTCACTATTATTTTGAAAAATTATTTTCCCACTATAAGCAATACATTTTCTCAAGAAATTAAAATGGTACATTTTTGTCTTTTAAAAAACTCAAATAGGGGCACCTGAGTGGCTTAGTAGGTTAAGCATCCTTAGTTTCAGCTCAGGTCATGATCTCACAGTTCATGGGTTCAATCCCCACATCAGGCTCTGTACTTATAGGATTCTCTGCACTTAGGATTCTCTCTCTCCCCCTCTTTCTGCCCCTCCTCGCCCACATGCACACACCATGTGCTCTTTCTGTCAAAATAAACTTAAAAAGAAAACACTCAAACAATGCAGAAATATTTAAACAAAGTCGCTTTCTGCTTCCCACTTTTTTTTTTTTTTTAATGTTTTATTTATTTCTGAGAGAGAGAGAGACAGCATGAGCAGGGGAGGATCCAAGAGAGAGGGAGACACAGAATCCGAAGTAGGCTCCAGGCTCTGAGCTGTCAGCACAGAGCCCGATACGGGGCCCAAACCCATGAACCGTGAGATCATGACCTGAGCCGAAGTTGGATGCTTAACCTATGGAGCCACCCAGGCGCCCCTCTGCTTCCCACTTCTATACTCTCCCCACAACCCCCTCTTCACAGATGACCCTCGTACAGTCTAGTGGGCAAATCTCAAAGAGCTCAATTACTGGATCATAAAAGTACGTTTAGTTTCATAAGAAGCTGCCAAACTCTCCTCCAAAGTGGCTTTACCATTTTGCATTTCCAACAGCAGTGAATGAGAATTCCCACTGCTCCACATCCTCACTGGCACTGGTGCTGGGTTCATTTTTTTTCTAGTATCTACATACTATTACTTTATTATTCTGCTCTTTTATCAGTGACTATTTTATTAACTTCCCATTTTCCATATAGCAAGGCTCCAACACTCCCATCATTTGACACAGATCTCCATGCACATGTGGAAGTCTTTCTGTAATGTACAGTATAAGCAAAATTGCTACATCAAAAGACATAAACACTTATGATTTTTAGTGCTTTTTATTATGGAAATTACACATAATATTTAAACATTTTAACCATTTTTAAGTGTATAATTCAGTGCTGTAAAGTACATTCACAATGTTGAATAACCATCACCATTATCCATGTCCAGAATTTTTCATCACTCCAAACAGAAACTTTATACCCATTAAAGAATAACCCCCTCTTCCTCTCTCCATGCAGCCCATGGAAACCTCCGCTTTGTCTCTATGAATTTGCCTATTCTAAGTGCCTCATATAATTGAAATCACACAACATTCATCCTTTTGCGTCTGACTTATTTCACTTAGCAAAATGTTTTTAAGGTTCAGCCATGTCGTATGTAGCATGTATCAGAATTTCATTCCTTTTTAAGGCTGAATAGTACAGATTTCAT